AGCCCATAGTTCCACTATCCACCACCCATGATCCTATCCAAAAAGAATCAGCCTGAGGAGGAAGCTGACCTGGAGGGCAGAATGGAGAGGAAAGAACCCGGATCACAGAGGACACGGTTGACTGGATCACACAACCTTGAAATCCACCTTATAGCTGGATTTCCAGTTCTGTGAGACAATAAGTTTCCATACTGTTTAAGGCACTGCGAATTGGGTTTTTTGTTTCTTATAATTGAAAGCAAATTAATGGATGCAAAGAGGAAGGCTGGTCCCCTGTGGAAAGAGTCATGAAATTCCTGCTGGCTGGGTACCTTCTTAGATTGGGTTTGAAAAGGCCCAATTATGATTCCTGTTCCTGGATTTATGTAAGATGCCTGGCTCGTCTATAGCCCCCTGCATCCATACCTCGGATGGCCTCTTGTACCTGAAAGGATGTAACTAAAATGAGAAAGCATTCAGCTCATGGAGCACTTGACCCATATGAAGTTCACAACCCCTACGTGTTCATATTAACTTTGTTTCTAAGGGATTTAAGGCTGCTCTCAGTAAATTCTAGTGCCTTCTCTCTACAGATGTCCAGTGAATCTCAAGAATCTTTGGAGAAACAAGTTCTTTGGAATCAAAGTGTTTAAGAAAAGCAGAGACTTCCAGGGATATCTCTTTCAGATCTCAGTTCTTCCCTGAAACTCTCTCCTCTCATCCCTACTCTACAGGGGCCGGCATGTCAGTGATCAGTGCCAAGTTGCTCTGGACCTTTGAGAGAAAGGCTCCATTTAAATTCAGCAAAACCTCTTTCATTCAGAGTCCTTGTAGAGAAGCACAGTGTAAATCAGTGAAAAGCCTAAATTAGATAATTTTTAAAAGAACAGTAGCTTCATTATTTTCAAGTACACCGAGTAACTCCATCTCAGCCATGAAGTGTTCCTTTGTAGAAGCCCTTAGAGACTTTTCCTTAATGAATGGATTATAATTATTGGTAATCAGCATAACAGTTCTCTGCACTACGTGCTTCGAAAGGAGTTGAGCATATTAAGTGATTTTGATGTTCCAGAGGGCAGTTTTATTTACAACATTCATCTGCACAGTGTATACCCTTTATAGCTGTAACCCTCTGCTGTTTAAAAAAAAAAAAAGAAAAAAATTCTGAAGACTCCATCACACGACATTTGATTATCAGAAGCAGAAATAGTGCAGGAGGAGAGAGATACATAGTAGGACTCGTTCTTTACCCGTGGTGTCCCGACAGAACTGCAGGAACAGCTCAGGCTTGCGAGTGGGGCCAGGTGCAAACCCTGGGCTTCATAAAATAACTTGACTGAGTTCCAGTTTTTCTGTAAAATGGGCTGATGTTTACTTTGCAGGGCTGATGTGAGCACTAAATGAGTATTAATTAAAGCTCTAAATACAGTAAGTACTTAATAAATGCTAGCTGCCTTTCTCTAGATTTCTTGGTCTGTGTGGGAGGCTCCTGCCTCTTTCATGTTAGAGAGACTATACTCAGCCCCGATGGTGCCTCTTCGTTCCTTGCTGATCGAGAAGCATGAGCTTGCCCCTTCTCCAGGCCCAACCCTTGCACAGGAGACCAGGGGCTTTTGAGGTGGTGCCCTTCTACTGCCACAGCCTCTGTCCCCGGCAGAGCCATGTCTGAGAAGACCAGAACATTCCTGACCTTCTTTGCACCAAGGAGCTTTATTTGCTGAGAGTTTGTTGTTGTTGATTGTGAACATGTATTAAGCATTTACTGTGGGGCCAGAAGCTAGGTAAGTACCTTATATTGGAAGGTGTTCCTTTATTTCATCAATTTGGGGATGCATTTTTCAGGATTGGAGTGTATCTAATATCAGTGTCTTATCAGTGATGCTAGACAGTGACTGTGACGTCACTCCTCTTGTCACATGTTCATGTGACACACTTGTCATCAGCCCTGTTGAGTAATATGCATTGGGGATACCATGTGCATGCTATTTAAAATGTCTTCAAAAAGATTACACTGTGATTTGGTGCTGAAATGAAAGGTTATTTTGTATACAGACAGGTACAGATGCAGAGTAGCATGGTTAATTTTGGTATTAGTGAAGCAAAGGTTTGCCACTGAAGGAATGAATGTGAGGCCATATATTTTTGCAAAGCAGCAACCAAGGGCTTTTTGGAACTAAGAAAGAAAGCAAGATAACCACTGGTAAATGAGGTTTTATTGGCATGCTGAGATTAGTGCACAAGGATTGCCTGTCAAACACCAAACAGGGCACATGAATGAAGGGAAAGCTATCACATGCCTTGGAATAAATGGAAGAAGTTTTAATGCAGTGAGAGGCCTGGTGTGACCAATTCATGCAAAGCACAGGACTAATCACTAAGGTGTGAACCAAAATTGTCAGAAACTTCATGCTGACTTTGAATAGAAGCTGATTAACTTCCAGGGGCCATGTGATTCCAAATAGGAAGAAGATGACACTAGAGCTGAAGTCAGATGAAAAAGAAAGAAACTGGCTGTTCTTCAGCATGCCCCTCCTGCCTCTAACTCCAAAAAAAGGCCTAAAATGCTCTTTGGATAAGTATATGTTTTAAGGGTCCTAGGACTTGTTTTAATTCGACACACAGACATGGAGATGACTGTCATGAAGGAAGAAGTCTGTTTTCCTCACAGGTCTCTAGACACAGGAGACATGGCGTGCCTTGCTTCCGTGGGGAAGCACCTGGGTCACTCAGGAGGTAGGGGAGCAGGGGAAATGTAGGTGAGGGCCTTTATTGCGGTTTCTTTTTCTTTTTCTTTTTTTTTTTAGAGCTTTTTTTTTACGATTTTATTTATTTGTTTGAGAGAGAGAGAGCATGAGCAGGGGGGAGGGGGGACAGAGGGAGAGGGAGAAGCAGGCTCCCCACTCAGCAGGCAACCCGATGCGGCACTTCATCCCAGGACCCTTGGGATCATGACCTGAGCCAAAGGCAGACGCTTAAGCGACTGAGCCATCCAGGCTCCCTTTATTGTGGTTTCTATGAGAAGGAGCAGGGCAAGGTTGGCTAATGGGAATAATTTTGGTGTGCTCTGGAACATAGGGACTGTTCTAGTTGTCTGATACCTGGCTCTGAGGTATTTGGGCAGGCAGATAGTGGCCCAGAGTGTAAGATTACCATAAAGGAGGTGGTTGGGGTATTGGCTCTGGATTGGTTGGTGTGCAAATAAAGGCACACTCCCAGGTGAGTTGTTTGCTATCTCTAGGAATTAGCTAACCCTGGGAGGGCCAGTCCCTATAGGGTCAGTGAGGTCCTAACATGTCAAAGCATCAAAAAATAAAAGGCATGGTTAATACAGTATAAAATAGTAGTTCCAAGTAATAAGAAAGCCTTGTCATGGTATTATTATCTGGGTTCTTTTTTGTTAGTGACGCATTGTTGGTAGCCAGCCTCCAAGGCGGCCCATCATGTTTCCATCTCCTAGATTTATTCTCTTGTGTAGTTCCCTCCCACGTTGGATCTGGGTTGGTCTGTGTGACTAATACAAAAGTATTAGTGTGAGCACAGGTCTGTGTGACTAATACAAAAGCACAAGTGTGAGCGAGTCACTTTCAAGTCCAGGTTATAAAAGGCATTTCAGGGCTAGGCTTCTGCATCTACTCTACTCCCACCCCCCACCCCTCCTTGAATCACTCACTCAGGGAAAGCAGCTGTCATGAGGACATTCAGGCAACCTTCTGGAGAGACCCACTTGGCTTCTTGCTAATAGCCATGTGAGAGAGACATTTTGGAAGTGGATCCTTCAGCCTCAGTCAAGCCAATGGATGACTGCAGCCTCAGGGGAGACCCTGAAGAGGAACCACCCAGCCAAGCCACACTCAGCACAGAGTCCGCTTGGGATTCTCTCCCTTTACCCCTGCGCCCTCCCCCCGTCTCTCTAAAATAAATAAGTAAATATTAAAAAAAAAAATTCTCCCTCTGCCCCTCCCACTCATGTGCACATTCTCTCTAAAATAAATAAATCTTAAAAAAAAAAAAAAAAAAGCCACCTAGCCAAGCCACTTCCAGATTCTTGACTCTCAGAGACTGTGTGAGATAAACGTTTTATGCTGCTGAATTTGGGGGGTAATTTGTCATATAACAATATATAATTAACACACAAATAATGGTATGTTTTGCATTATAACACCTTGTATTTGAAAAATGCCGAGACTAAGTGATTTGCTCATCATTACGTAGGTAAAACTGTAATCCAGCCTGTGTCAGAATCCATTCAAATCCTGGATTTATATAGGTCTATTTTACTGATTACCAATAACATTAATAGGGAATTCTGATGTTTTTGTGCTTCTGTGTCCACTCCTTCCCTTACAGGGGGCACGACCAACAAAGGTATCTTTTATTTGAGGTTGAAAATATATTCCACATATTTCTCCCTCTTCACACTAGTGTGTAGGTTGGCTTATTTGTTCACTTACGTATTTCAATTTTATTGAGGACCTACAAAGTGCCAGGAACTAAGAACATAAGAATTTGTAAGTAATAGGCCCCAACCTTTGAGTTTTTGAAAAGGTTTCCGAATACAGCTACACCTCAGAGATACTGCAGGTTCCTTCCACAGCACTGAAAGAAAATGAGTATCCTGATAGAACAAGTCGAATGTTTTTGTTTACCTGTGCACATACAAGCTATGTTTGCATTATGCTATAGTCTGTTAAATGTGCAAAGTATGGCTAAATAATGCTATCGTCTGTGCTTTCAGTGAGTTGTAATGTTTTTGCTGGTGGAGGGTCTTGCCTTGGACTGGTGGGTGCTAAACGTTGGGGCAGTTTCTTAAAATAAGACAACAGTGAAGTTTGCTGCATCGATTTGACTCTTCCTGTCATGAACGATTTCTCTGTAGCAGGCAATGCCGTTTGATAGCCTCTTTCCCACAGTCCAGCTTCTTTCAGAATTGGAGTTTGTCCTCTCAAACACTGCAGCTGCTTTTTCAACTAAGTGTATGTAATATTCTAAATCCTTTGTTGTCATCCCAACAATCTCCACAGCCTCTCCACCAGGAGTCGATCCCATCTCAAGAAACCACCTTCTTTGCTCTTCCACGAGAAGCAGCTCCTCATCCGTTCAAGTTTGATCATGAGATCACAGCAGTTTAGTCCCATCTTCAGGCTCCATGTCTATTCCTAGTTCTCTTGCTGTTTCCACCACATCTGCAGTGACTTCCTCCACGGACGTCATGAACCCCTCAAAGTCATCCACGAGGGTTGGAATCAACTTCTTCCAAACTCCTGTTAATGTTGATATACTGATATTTTGACCTCTTTCTGTAAATCACGAATGTTCTTTTTTTTTTTTATTTTTATTTTTATTTTTATTTTTTTTAAAGATTTTATTTATTTATTCATGAGAGACAGAGAGAGAGCGGCAGAGGGAGAAGCAGGCTCCCAAGGAGCAGGGAGCCCGATGTGGGACTCGATCCCAGGACCCTGGGATCATGACCTGAGCTGAAGGCAGACGCTTAACCATCTGAGCCACCCAGGTGTCCCAATCACGAATGTTCTTAATGGCATCCAGAATGGTGAATCCTTTCCAGAAGGTTTTCAATTTACTCTGCCAGATCCAGCAGAGGAATTACTATGTATGGCAGCTATAGTCTTACAAAATGTATTTCTTAAATAATAAGACTTGAAATTACTTCTAGATCCATAGGCTGCAGAATGAATGTTGTATCAGCAGGTGTGCAAAGAACATCTGTCTCATGCATCTCCGTCAGCTCTTGGGGGACCAGGTGCATTGTCAATGAGCAGTAATATCTTGACAGGAATCTTCTGAGCAGTAGGCCTCAACAGTGAGCTTGAAATATTTAGTATGCCATATTGTGAACATATGTACTGTCCGGGCTTTGTTGTTCCGTTGATGGAGCACAGGCAGAGTGGCTTTAGCCTAATTCTTCGGGTCCCTAGGATTTTCAGAATGGCACATGAGCGCAAGCTTCAGCTTAAAGTCAGCATCTGCATTAGCCCCTAACGGTAGAGTCAGCCCGTCCTTTGAAGCTTTGTAGCCAGGCCCCGACCTCCCCTCTCTGGCTGTGAAAGTCCTAGATGGCATCGTCTTCTGATAGAAGGCTGTTTGGTCCACACTGAAAATCCGTTGTGTAGTGGAAGCACCTTCATGAATGATCTCCGCCAGATCTTCTGGAGACCTCGCTGCGGCTTCACCTCGCAGTTTGGAGTTACAGAGACGGCGTCTTTCCTTAAACCTCATGAACCAACTCCGCTAGCTTCAGACTTGTCTTCTGCAGCCTCGTGCCCTCTCTCCGCCTTCACAGAATTGAAGAGAGTGAGGCCTCGCTCCGGATTAGGCTTTGGCTTAAGGGGATGTTGTGGCTGTTGGCGCTTCTGTCCAGACCGCTAAGTCTTTGTCCATATCAGCAGTAAGGCTGTTTCACTTGGTTATCATTCATGCGCTCGCTGGCGTGGCACTTCTCATGTCCTTCCAGAACTCTTCCTTTGCATTCACAACTTGTCTGTTTGGGGCAGGCGGCCTGGCTTTCGGCTTATCTAGACTTTCAACACACCTTGCTCTCACTGAGCCTACTCATTTCTAGCTTTTTTGAAAGTGAGAGATGTGTGACTCTTCCTTTCACTTGGACACTTAGAGGCTATCGTCGGGTTGTTGATTGGCCTACTTTCAAGTAGGGATCAGGGAGGCCCGAGGAGAGGGAGAGAGAGGGGTGAACAGCTGGTGGACGGAGCAGTCCGAACACACACAAAACCATTACATAACATCAAAGATCACGGGTCACAGATGGCCCTAATATAATAATGAAAAACTGAAATACTGCACGAATTACCAAATGTGATACAGAGGCTCAAAGTGAGTAAATGCTATTAGAACAATAAACTTGCTAGACGTGGGGTTTGCCCTGTGAAACCGCGGTGTCTGAGGAATACAATAATATGAGGTATGCCTGCGCCTTTCTCCCAGTCTTAAAGAGAGAGGTGCCCTGGTGTCGCTCTGGCTCACCCATTGCGCCTTCAGTGAAGCTGCCAGGTAACCAGTCTGAGCGCGGAGCAGGGAAGAAGGAGCCACGGAGTGGATGGCCGTGTTGGGGGAGCCCGCGGCTTCTCTGTGTCTTGTTTTACTGACTCTGATGATGAAGGCCTGGCTGCCACCAGAAGCGGGGTTCCTGGGCCCTGTGCTGCACGTGCTGTTCGTCTTCCTCAGACTAGAGATGTCCTGATCGTCAGCTACTGTTTCTCTTCCAAACTTAGTAATTAACTTCCCAGGGTTAGGAGAGGAGACAGTCACTTAGCTTCAATTAATTGTTGAAAGAGCAGAGAGGGGTCTATGTTTCTACTAAAAGGAAAAAAAAAGGGAGGGATTGGAAATATTCTGAGTGGGGGAACGCAGAAGGAAAATAAAGGTGATTTCCAAACTCAGTTTCTTCTCTCTTGTCTTTAAAGGTTTTTTTGGGGGGGGGGCGGTGTTAGGAGGTTTTAAATCTGTCCTTAAGGAAGGATGTATTACTCAGAATAAGTTGCCTCTAGATTGTTTTCCAAAGTCAGTTGTTAAAAAAAATTTTTAAATGTCAATCTGGTTAAATTTTTTTTTTAAGAATAAAGCTTATCTGAAAAGTGATTGTCAACTCAGGGTAGGTTACAGATAAAATCGAGGTAGTGGGCATGTTAGAATCTTGAGGGAAGTTTCTTTGAAAAAAGTTGATATTTTTATTGGGAGAATGAAAAAAATGTTAAGTTTTCATATTACAGATTGCAGAGAGTTAAAAAAATCTCTGATGAGGCTATGCAGAAGAAAAGGATTCATAATTGAGACACATCTCCTCAAAATCTTGGAGGGACATGAGATTGTCCTGGTTGTCAAATAGGGGGATGAGTTTTAGAAGGTTGAAAAGTGTTGTGTTAGGAAAATAGTGATTTTTTGGAAAGGCAGAGTGGAAAGAGCTGGAGTGGAACTCAGGTACATTTCTGTGGGTCTTGCAAAGAGTGGGTTCCGGGAAGGGCAGGCAGAATGCCAAGGTCAGAGAAAGACGGGAGACCCTCACAAAGTGGACCGGTGATTACCCAGGTGCTCTTGGCTTCCTGATTTCGGTTTATAATTGTGCAGTGAGTAAGCCCCTTTTCAGAAGTGGGGGAAAGGGGCATCTGGGTGGCTCAGTTGGTTAAGCAGCTGCCTTCAGCTCAGGTCATGATCCCAGGGTCCTGGGATCGAGCCCCGCATCGGGCTCCCTGCTCAGCGGAGAGCTTGCTTCTCCCTCTCCCTCTGCCTGCCACTCTGCCTACTTGTCCTGTCTCTCTGTCAAATAAATAAATAAAAAATATCTTAAAAAAAAAAAAAAAGAAGTGGGGGAAAAAAGCCAATGAAGTTGAATACATACAAATGGAAACTTATGGGTCTGCCTTCAGCTCAGGTCATGATCTCAGGGTTCTGGGATCGAGCCCCACATCAGGCTCCCTGCTCAGTGGGGAGCCTGCTTCTCCCTCTCCCTCTGTGTTCTCTCTCTCTCTCTCTCAAATAAATACATAAATAAATCTTTAAAAAAAGCAAAAAACAAATGGAAACTTATTCATAACAAAAATTATCAAAAATCAAATGACAAATGACGAGACATTTATCAAAGGATTGATTTCCTTAGTCTAAAACATTTTAAAAATATATAATGAAAAGATGAACAATCCCAAGCGAAAAATGGGCAAAGAGTCTTATTAGCAGGGTGTTCACAGAAACAATAAATACACATGATCCAGAGCTATATGAAAATGTTTGTGATACTTATTTTTCACCCATCAGATTAGCAAAGGTTAAATGTTTGATGACCCCATATCATCAAGAATGTAGTGTGCTCTCCCCACACTGTTGGTGGGGGAGTAAGCTGACTCAGACTTCCTGAAGGACAAAAGAGCAGTGTCTTTATAAAGGCTCATTTTTAAAACCCAGTTAAATTCTATGTATTAAGCATACGTGAGCAAGACTATGTGCAAGGCTATTTCACTGCAGCTTTTTCATTATGAGAAAGCAGAAACTACTAACTGCGCATCCATAGAGGACAGACAAAATAAATGATAAGATGTCCATAAGATCGGATCTGATACAGCTGTTAAAAATAACGGGGCAGGTCCATACATACTGATTTGGAAAGCTCTGTGAGCCATTACTAGTAATTGAGCAGCTGTGTTTAGTGTGATGCCATTTTTTGTAAAAGTAAAAAAAAAAAAAAAAAAAAACCTAAAATATGTACTGAAATTGAAGTCAGTATAGATAGAAATATACACATGCTCATCGAGTCGTAGACGACTTTGGAAAGCAATACTGAAGATGCTGTTAACAGTAGTTACCTCTGGAGAGCAGACCTGGGAGCAAGGGAAGGTGGGCATTTACTTTTTAGCTTATTTCCTTTATCTTTGTAATTCTTTAACGTCAGCATGTATTACTTAACATTTTTAATGAGTTTTTTTTTCAATTTTTTTAGAAATTTTATTTTATTATGTTATGTTAGTCACCATACATTACATCATTGGTTTTTGATGTAGTGGTCCATGATTCATTGTTTGCGTATAACACCAGTGCTCCATGCAGTACGTGCCCTCTGCTATAAAGCACAAACCATAAAATGTACCAGCGTATCTCTTCGCGTACAGTTCAGTATTGTTAAATATATTCCCATTGCTGTGCGGCCAATCTCTGCAGCTTTGTCATCTTGCAGATCTGAAACTCTATACCCATTAAACAGTAATGCCCCATTTCCCCCTCACCTGGCCCCTGGCAACCGCCACTGTGCTTTCTATGAGTTTGACTACTTTAGTGACATCATGTAAGTGGGATCATACAGTATTTGTCCATTTCGGGGTCTTTTTGTGACTGGCTGATTTCACTTAGCATAATGTCCTCAAGGTTTGTCCGTGTTGTATCTGTGTCAGAATTTCCGTCATTTTCAAGGCTGAATAATATTCCATTATATGGTATACCACACTTTGTTTATCCATTCATCCATCAGTGGACACTTGGCCTGCTTCTGCCTCTCGGCTATCACGAATAGTGCTTCTGTGACCATGAGTATGCAAATATATCTTGGAGATCCTGCTTTCAGTTCTCTTGGATATAGACCCAGAAGTGGGATTTAATGGGTTTTTTAAAAAAGTAGTTAGCCAATGAATTGCCCTGGAGCAGCCGAGGTGGTGTTAGGTGCGCACCCAGTGGGCTAGTTGAGCTGCAGCATCTGACGCCGGGGTTTTGTTTACTAGCCCCCGGGGGCTGAGCAATTTTCATTCCTGCCCCACGAGCCTCTCCTTTGTACAGACAGGAGGGGCCTTCGCAGGCTTGTGCACCCGCTGCTCCCTGCTTGCTCCTGCCTGCATTAATTCAGCGCATTTCTGTGGCTCCCCGAAGGAGGAGATGCTGCAGCAGCATTTAATTAGCGGCCAGGAACATGCTTTCCCAAGGACGTGACTTATTTCGCAGCCAGCTGTTGCCAGTGGCTTCCTAGCAACAGGCAGCCCTCACATCTGATTGCTTCTCTCCAGACAAGGGGGTGGCCAGTCCACCTGCTGTCACAGCCTAGCATGGGAGCGCGGGCAAGGGGTCCCTGGGTTGAGGGCTAATTCCCTAAAAGAAGTAAGTGATCTGAACCTGGTATTCCTGCAAAGCCAGATGTGGTGCCTAAACCTCTTGACGCTTGAACTACCCATCCCACCCCTCCTTCAAGTTCATGATTAGAGCAGACAGAAAGAACCTCACTAGTTATAACACAGAGTAACATGGTCTAGAGAGGTCCGCTGGGATTGTGAAGTGCAGTGGAGAGACTTTGGGGAAGAGAGCATGATCTCCCCCATAGGAGGCAGAGTCTGCCTGTCAGAATGGACTTGGGGGTGCCCTGGGAGCACCCCGTCTTGGACAAGGGGAAAAGGAAAGCCTCATCCCTGGGTTTCCTGAGGCTCTGGAAAGAGGGCGTGGGGAGGTAGATGTCAGTGGCATCCACCACCCTGAACCTGAACTTGCCATTCCTCGCGGCGTCTAAGAGATGGCGGCTCAGGGGCCTGACTTCAGGCCCCGATTCCTCCCAGATGCTTCTTCCGTAGAGGCTGCAACTGGATGTTGTGAGGCAAAGTGCTGCTCAATGACACGCTTTATTTGGCACATGTGGTGATTTTACAATTTTGAGGATTTGTAAAATATCCTGCTTTTTCATGCCGCCATCAGGAGACCCACAGCCCCGTGGTTAGGGCCCCTCTAGACTAGCTTGTGTAACCCCACTTCACGCCTGTTGCACGCCCATCTGCAGCCACAGGGGTGAGGGAGGCTGCGCCTGCAGAGGTCCCCTTGTACTTACTCATTCGTTCCACAAATGTTTCTGGAGCTGCTTCGGCATGTCAGAGCCTGAGCTAGGCACTGGGCTGAAAGGACCAGAAGGTGTGACCTTTGCAGTCCTGCATTTCCGGACCCATTGGGGAGTTAGACAAGGAGATGGGCTGGGGATTCACTGAAAGCAGCTGAGAGACAGGTGCACAAGGGGTCCTGGGAGCAGAAACCCGGGGTGGCTGACCCACACTGGTGGGGTCAGGGCCAGCTCTGGCACAGATGCCACCCAAGCCCAATCCCGAAGGATGACAGGGGTTAGCCTGGTGAGGAGGGGAGGGGAAAGGGAAGAGAAGGAGACCCCAGCCAGAGGGGCCTGTTAGGGGACTGGCGTACAAGACCAGAGGCCAAGGTTCTCCCTGAGGCCAAGAGCGCCCAAGGGGGTGGCCTGCTGAGGGCTTGCAGTTAGAGACCCCTGCAGAGTGTCATCCGAGAAATTTTGTGTCAGATTTGTGTTTTCAGACCGCTCCAGCTCCAGAGTGGATTTGACATGGTAAAATCCAAGACTCGGGACCCAGGAAGAGGCTGTCGTGGAAGGAACAGTATCAGACACAGCTGGTTTTCTGTGGGACACCCAGTGAGGCATCCCCAGGAGGCTGGGTAATGAGCCTGGAGAGCCAGAGCTCTAGACTGGAAGTCAGGATGGAAGGGCCAAGATCACCCCGGGCAATGTTTTTGTTGAGAAGAAAATATAACAACAGTAGCTAAAGTCAATTGATCAGTTACTGTGTGCCAAGCATGGTATTTTGAACCGCATGCTCATTAGCACCTTAAATCCTCCCCACAACCTCACGAAGCAGACACTGTTGCAGTCAGCACCTGGAAGACCAGGAAGGAGGGATGAGGAGACATTTCTGGGTCACTCAGCCACTGGCCCTTGGTCACTGGGCGGAAGAGTCGAGATGTGAGCCCGAGTGGCCTGGATCCAAAGCTTCTGTTGAGAACTGTCCTGCCTTGCCGTGCATCTCCACCTTTCTGAACAGCTCTGTGAAAGAAGGAACCATATTCTTGTTTTCAGATGAGCCCATCAAGGCCCAGAGACGTAACTTGCTCCAAATAACGCACGCCGTGAGGGGCATCGTCAGGGACTGAATCCAGCTCTCTCAGATTCTGATGCCCCAGCTGCTTTCATGCAGGGCCGGGCCAGCTGGCAAAGGAGAAGGCAGTGGGGACCCCACCCGCGAGAGCCTGAGGTGGGAGTGGAGCGCAGAGCTGGAGGGCACATTCGCTCACCTCTCACTGAGGGAGGGCGTCTAGTGAGGCCAGCATGTTTGGCCTCTAGAATTCTGACGCCAGCCCTTCCCCGTCTCTGGCCCCCTGGTGTCACCTCGCTCAGCCTCAGTTTCCTCACCAGTAAATAGACACAAGAATACTGACTTCAGGGTCGTGAGGATGAAATGAGGGGCCACACGCCCGACACAGTCCGTGCCCGACACGGGCGGCAGAAAGCACCCTCTCAGGGAGCGGACAGCCTCTCCGAGGGCCTGGGTGGAGCGAGCGAGTGTCGGAAGGGTTAACCAGGCATTTTCCTGTCCTCCTTCCCATGAAAGGAAAGGCCTAAGCTTTTCCCATTTCTGGAGAGACCACGGGGGACGACAACCCTTGGTTCTGGCTTCCCTTCCAGCTGCTTCTTATTGATGAGGTGCAAATAGGAAGCCACCACCTCAAGGCTCCCCCGCTGTGTAGACGAAGGCTGGCTTGCCTCCACCTGCAGGCACCTTCTAGGCACGTGCTTTATGTCGTGGGAGCCGCGGGCCAACAGGAAGCCTGGCCCGGCAGGGAGGGGGTGGCCGTGCAGAGGAAGGCCGTGGAAGGCTGTCCTTCTCCAGAAAATATGAAGCTGTGGCTGGACTCAAATGTCACAGAACTGAGGGCCATTTCACACGGCGCCTAATTCAGAGCCTCCCAGCAGTTTCAAGTCCAAGGCCTCCGTTCACTCTTGAGTGATGTTAGTGGGCTCAGCCTACAGCTCTGCTTTTCATACCATCAAGTGACATTGGTGTTTGTTTGGTTCCCCCAGCATTCGAATCTCTTTTTGGGTTTGAGGGACCCTCCATTTTATGAGCTCCGAGAGGGAGCCAGGAGCAGCTCCCGTGAAGGACATTGCAGCCGAGGCTCTCCCAGCCACCCCCCTCCCACCAGCTCTGCGAGAGGGCCGCGTGGGCAGCTCCCTTCCTAGGGCAGTCCTGAGTCCCAGCTACTGAAGTCTTCGCGCCAAAACTGCCTCTTCTAAAGCCAGTTCACATCTGGAAGTAGCGTACAATTGTCGAGAACCTACTGCTGGAGTCATGAGGATGAGGCAAAATAATTCCCAATTTTTAGAATGGGAAAGCAACTCAGAACAACATGGGGGTCTCCAACAGGGCCAAAACTCACGGGCAGGCCTTTTGCTTTATAGTCTTCCCACTGGATTCTTAAGGTCCCTTCCTAGGTTTCAGGACATGTGCTGAAGAGGATTATAAAGTTGTTGCTTTGGCTGTCCTCACTGCAGGGCAGACACACAGAGCTGAAGGCCCCGCTTGAGTTAAAGGGGATGTCTGCTGCCCAAGGTGCCTTCTGGAAGGTCAGCTGGCGTTTTCTTGGGCACTTGAGCCAGACATTGTGCAAACTTCTCTGTGCTAATCCTCTCAGCTCTCTGGAGTGCCTCCTATTGTCTCCATCTTCTATCAGGAACTAGGCCACAGAGAGGCTAAGTAACTTGCCGAAGGTCACACAGCTGGAACCAGAGTTCAAACTGGACCTCAGAGTCTGCTGAACTGTCACTCCCTCACCCCTGCATGCGGTGAGGGGCCCTGGGGAGGGACGTGGGATACAGGAGGGCAGATGGCGTATCTGGGACTCACTGGCGGCAGAAGGCTCTGTTGGAAGGATCGAAAATCCCCAGCTGAGCCATAGATCCAAGCCAGGGGAACAAGGGGAGATGCTCCAAGGGATAAGGGCCTTTAAAGACACCCGTGAATCTCCGGCCGGGGGGGGCGGGTGGCAGATGGGCAGCCGTGGAGCCCAGCCCGGACCAGCTGTTGTTTGCAGAGCAGGGCGAGTGTGTGCTGACAGCTGGATTAGGTGTACCCAACAACCTCAGTGACCATCGGGGGAGACGCATAGTGGGCCCTTCTGGCTGGCCCTGCCGGCACCTCCCAGCCCTGGGAGCTTAGCACTTGCTAATCTCTGTCCCCATGGCAGCAGGAGGTGACAGGGCCATGGCTCAGGCCATGGAATCTCCCACCTCTTGCTGGCCGGGTGCTTTTTGATCAGAGAATCTTCTCCCTTCCAGAAAGGAAGATGTAAAGCTAGAATGATGGGCCCGGAGTCCGTAACTGGGACGGACAGTCTCTCCTGACCTACTCTCAATTCTCCTCTCTTCCCGGGCCTCTTTGTCACCTCCGATTTGGGTCTGCTGGTTTCATTTGTTTTGTCTGCCCTTCTGTTTCCTGTCTCATTTCATAAAGGGCTCGAAGCAGCTATCAAAAATACATGCCAAACAGGAGGACAATAAAATAAATATTTGCATAACTTGGGGCCAGAGAATACATGGGTGGGCCCCCAGAGGTGAGTGTGGACTGCTAGGGTTCCTTAGTGACCGCTTTCCAGAATACGGCTTCTGCAGCCATTCCCGTCCGTCTCACACCTAAAAGCAACATTTGGGACATACCTTCTTTTTCATATTACACAAGCAGTTGATTCATTTGGTAAATACTTATTAAGTACCTGATAAAAATAAAAATAAAAATATCTCTCACCTTCATTTCTAAATTCTTTTGCCACATTTGGAAACACTGCTGTGGGGTCTCTTCAGAACCAGACACTGGCTAATGTTTTGAATTCCGGGTAACACTCTAGAATCGACCCCTACATATCATTTTAGCCGTTCACCTTGTTGGTAATCCAGATCCTTTCTACTTATTGTTTTGGAATGTTTCTCCAGAAATGTTCTAGAAAACCATTGTAAAAATCACTTTACGTAATGCCCTCCAACACTTACGGTATTTTCCTGGAAAATGGCTCAGCCAGCAGCTGGGGAGTGTTCCTCTGCAGTGTGGAGCTGGTGGGGGCAGCCCTGAGTAACTGAGGCTAGAGGTGAGCCACCCTACCCCCCCGCCACCCCCACCCTTTGCTGAGCACTCATTACGGGCCTAATCTTTCTTCCACCCTGGGCCCCCCAAATCCACAAGCCCCCACCTTTGTGGAGTTACATTCCTGCCAACAAGCAGAAGCTAAACAAGAAAAGCAACAAACGAGTGACATCCCCTGGTTTACGTTTTAAAAAGACCCCCCTGGCTGCTGGGTGGGAAATGGGTCGGTCTGAGGGAAGGCATGACAGGACACAGGGAGGCCAGGCATCAGGCCAGGCAAGATTAGGGGGTTAGCGGACATGGTGAGAAGTCAGAATGGGATCTAATTTGGAGGTGAGGCCAACTGATCAGCTGAGGAATTTGGCACAGGGGTAAGGAGCAGGAATCAAGGACGTGTCCAAAGTTTCCCGCCCTGAACTGGGCAAGCGGTTCCATTAGTTGCCTTGGGTAAGACAGGGAGAGGGAAAGGGTTTTATGTTGGCCATGTTAGGTCAAGATATCTGTTAGACATTTCAGGGAAAAGATCTGCAATTTCCTAGTGATTAGTCGCCACTTTGCTGACTCGGGGCTACGGATGCCGGAACAGAGAGGATGGTCCCAAAGGGATAGGCTGCACCGCCTTGATCGGGGCAACCCGGACTCCTCCGGGACACCCCCCCACCCCAGGCATCTTGCTCTGGCCTTGCACGCTCATTCACCTGACACACACAACCCATGTTTATTGAGTTCTGCGCTCAGTATTTTCTACCTGCCCCTCGAAGGCACATGTTTATGAGGTCATCTAAATGGACAACATGTCCTTTTCTATTGTTCCATTTAGTGTTCTAACTTTTGAAGAAACATGAAAGCCACCTGAATGAATA